ACAAATAGTGTTCGGATCACCATTGGCATATGGAGCCTAAATACAAGAGAGTTCCATATTTTAAGCAGCAACACATGTTGCCTAAAATAGCCAACATGCACGAACCAGAAAACAAGAATATTGATCAACTATTTCAGCTGTCAGTATAAAGTATAACTCAGATAAACATATTTTCTTAATTACAAATTGATACAGTGAATATCTATGGGACTTTAACTTACAGCAAAATGCACCCTTTCATGAAACAGAATTAATAACCCTAATCCTAGGTTTCTAATTGGGTACTTCCAGTTTAACCCAGCAGTAGGTGTAGCGATTGCCAATGCAATCTCTGCTATGAACATGTGAAAACACTTTGAAATCTACATTTTCTGGAATAAACTAGATCTGGTATACTAAACAATAAAAAGAAATGTTTGTCTGGATCAATTACAATGATGAGCTGTACCATCTTAGCACCTACCATGACAAGTGATGCTAGTTACAAATTATACCACACAGAAATCATCTAAAAAGGTAACTCAGTGCTTTCTAAGCACTCATTGACTGCTCTAAAATACATTGAATATTGGAACTTTGCCACCCATTCATCCATTAATCATCAGCAAGAAATAATTATAGATGTGTGTCACCAAGCTAACTGTTGTCAGAATACTGATAGGTGATATATTGCTAAATTTTAAATAAGATGACTTGTCATATTACAAATATACATGCACGAAGTGCAACACCATAATGGTCTTGAACTATCATGCCAAAAGAAAGATATAAGCTTCATTGCTCTACAACCCTAAAAGAATACAACAGATAATCTGGAAAAGGGAGAAAACAAAAGAAACCAGGAAATAATTGACTTATACAGAACAAAAACTCCTATTTTTGGGGTGATATTTTTTTTCTTCAATGGAGCAAGTTAGGAAATCAAAAAACTCAATTTGTCTGATGGCCAGCTAACAGCTTAAAAAACCAACCAAAGAAACACCACATTAGTGTTCACATGATGTAGAAGACAGAGTGTGGTTATACTTGTTTTTCAAAGTGCTTTTCACTCGAAAATGTATCAAAATAATGTCTTTATTTTTTAAAAATTATTTTTGACATCAACGCATCAAAATAATCTAAAAACACCAAAAAAATATTAATTTGAAGTAAAGAAATTTTTTTTCGAATTTTCAATTTTTTTCAAGAAACACAAAAACAAACAGGGCAGTAGAGTTGCCATGCATTGTTAACAGAAAGTATGAGAGCAAAAGGGTTAAGTACACTCGTGACTCAACATGATGAAGAAAAATAAAAATGAATTGATTGGAAAGAACAAAACCATAAGATCCTCACCATTACTTCCTTTGGATAGTTCAGTGTATAACCCAGCTGTTGTCCAATACTTCATAAAATTCTTCTTAACACGCTTCATAAGATCCAAGATATAGTCACCTTTGCTGTTATACTTAAAACAGTTGTACCAAATGTATTGAACATCCTTGTAGACATCCTTTGAATTCATGTACTTGTCACCTTTCTCAAGATTGCTGCAGATTGTTCCAAAGTCCATTGGTGTATCTATGATATCAAAATAATCCTGTAAAAGAGGAAAGTCATTTTGATATCATAGATATATATGGACATATCAAGCAATACAGAACAAAAAGAGCTCAGTGGATTTTTATTTTTCAAAAACAATCTTATTAGACAGTATGGATGTATATAGAAGATGGAGGATAATACATAGTTTCAATTCTCAGGAAAACCTTGCAACACCTCTTCAATGTCTTTGCATGCAATGTCAACTAAGATATCCATTCAGACCATTCCTCTATAACACCCATAGCTGAGCAGCATAGGAACTTAATCTTCACAAAATCGAGTCCTTAACATGAGAACTCTCTACTCCATAACAAACATAAAACAACAAAGCATCGCGCCATAATAATCAAGATACCAACTTACAGGTATTCCAAGAGCATCAGGATTGACAGGAACGTTAAAGGGTTCGGCTGCATCCATTTTCATCACCTTCTTAATAACCTACAAATAGGATAAACAATTACACACAAACAAAAACAACAACTAAAGACAAACTCCCAACATACCAATAAGGCAGAATCCAATTCTTTCTTATCATATCGATTCTCCTTATGTGGCGTCTCCAATTCCTTGTTTGGCAAACCCTCCTCATCCTCATCCTCATCCTCCACCACCACCACATCACCACTGCTCGAACCTCCTCCTCTTCCTCCTCCCCCCATCACCTGAGTTGACGAAGAAGACTTAATCTTTATACCCCCAGGTCTCCTCGAAACATACATCTTAATTTCAGGAACAACCGAATTCCCACTATCCTCAACTTGTTTCTCCAACCCCAAGTTCTGCACTGGGCTACTCCTATCTGTATCACTCCGAGACTCCAAAATCTTCGAACTTTTTAGCTTAACCTTCACACGCCCAACACCCTTTACTCCTCCTACTCCTCCTCCTGATGCTGCCGTGGCAGCAGCCTTATCGATAGAACCATCAGGATTAATACTTGCAAGATGCAATGGCTGGTCGGTTCCGGTGGAAGAAGGTGTATTAACCTCCATTGGAGATTGATTATCATCATCATGATCATCAACATCATGATCATCATTATGATCTTCCCTGCTTAGAGTGATTAAATTGATTAGTGTTTGTTCTTCATCGGCAGAACCCTCGCCACCGCTCACCGCAGCTTCGGCTTTTGGCTTCGCTGCTTTTCCTTTCTTCCTCGCTCTCTTTCGCTTCTTCATCTTCTAAGAAATCAAAATCAGTAAACCCTAACGGTAACAGTTTCGCGCTTGCAGAGAGAGACCTAAGCGATGCGTCGTTCGTTTGTTTGTTGTTAAGAGAAAGACAGGACTACTATTTATTTATGGATTAGTGTATTTATTTCATCCCTCTATTTTTGATATTTTCTTATGTGACCACTCTACTTTTATTTTTATTTATATGGCTCCTTTACTCCAGAAAAAAATGATTCCTTTTAGATAATATTTGTTCGATCTTGATTTAAATTTGAAGTTTAAATAATATATTGATTAATTAATAAATTTATATGGTCTCAATTATATTAATTTACAGAGATTTAATTTATAATAAATTTCTTATTAAGATAGTTTTTGGGGAAATAGAAATTGAAGACAGTTATTTTTTTCTTTTTTCAATAATTTCCTTGTAAATATTCAATAATATCAAATTTATCTTTTTGATTTTGCATTAACAAACCCTACTTCTTTTTTATAAGAACAAATTTATTTTTGTGACTCTTAACTTTATCTTGAATACCAACTTGTATATCTTTATTATTAAATAGGATTCTGTCTATACCTCTAGTTCTGTTCTTTTTATTAAATTATAAACATTATAATATAATGGATTATTAAAATTATAATGATTTATTACAATACAAGCACTACTACTAAAAAAAGGCTATGAGATGATTAAAAGTAATCATGCAAATACCTTATTGTAAAAAGGATTTCATCGTAAGAACTAAATAGTATTTTCATGAAATTATAAGAAAAAAGTTGTTGGTTTTTTTTTATAAAAAAAATAGAAATCAAGTTTCGGGCCTTTTCTCTTTAATTTTTCAATGGCATGCACATATATTTAACATACCACATCCAATGCAATGGAATTGAATGGAAGAATATAACATATTTAGTTGAGTGGAAGAATATAATATATTTTATATTTGATTAATGTACTATGACAAAAAAATAAATATAAAAATATATTTGATTAAAAAAATAAATACAAATAAGTAAAATAAATTTGCTTATGAATTAATTTTGGTATGAATTTTATCCATTTAAAATAAATAAAATTAGAAAATATATCATTTTTATTTTAACTATTTTATCTCAAGACATTAACCACATTACTTTAAAGTTGAAAAAGGTATTTTAACAACTATTATTTTTTATTTAAAAATATATTAAAATAATTTTTTTCTTTAATATTAATATATTAAAACAATCCAAAAACAAATAAAAACTTACATTTTAAAAAAATATAATTTCAAACAAATTCTCTTTACCAATCACAAACTACACTATTGCCATCATTACTTTGGGATTGCTTTTTTACAGGCTATTTATTTTTGCAATTAAAATTGCATTTCATATTTTTTTTTAAAAAAATTATTTAAAATTATTTTTTTTATATTTTTAAATCGCTTTAACATGCTAATATTAAAAATAATTTTTTTAAAATAAAAAATATTATTTTCATATAATTTCAATTAAAAAATACTTTAAAAAACAAAAATAACTTGTAACATATTCTTAAACATTACCTTAATCACAACAATAAAGAGTATCAACATTAAGCTAACCTATAATTAGAGAATTTCCATTTTGGTTCCTGCCCTTCAATTTCATCATGATCTCAATTGCTTCAGTTTTCTGCTTTGTTTGAATCAGATAGCAAGAATATTCAACAAATGTATTTTACATTCAAATTAAGGAAAATCACAATTATTAAAATATTGTAAAAATATAGGCCACTACTAAGTCGGAGTATCGCTCTCTTACCAATTTCATATTCTATTGAAAAACATGAAATACAGAATATTAGCTAAAGAGTGAGTTCAAGCTTTTCAATTGATTAAAATTCAAATATATCATGGAGGAAACATGAAATAGGGCATGCCCAGAGAGAAGCAACAAAGAAAACCTACCACAACCTTGCATGATCAGTTGTGCCAGCAACACACCATCATTGATCATCCATGCATCTTTATTTCAAGACACAGCTAGAGTTCACTGGAATTAGCTCTCACTCTCCTACAATCTCATATGCCATCAAAATATGTTTAATGCTCCTTCGTTAATTACAAAATGCATGTCTAGCTAGCCATTTCAGCCACACACAATATACATGACTAGTAACTTGCTTATGGTTCCAGAAGCTGGTGAAGTCCATTGAGCATCACATCTCTCCGCGATCAATCTGCATGAAAAACAAATAATTTAACTGGATAATACAAAAAATATGCACTTGTATGTGATTTTTGGGGCGAACTGAAAATACATGGATTAATTATATTGTTCCATCTGGTACTTTTTGAATTCTCAGAATCTGGTTCTTGTACAGTTTTTTCTGTAATGTAGTTCCAACACCTGCAATCCCATCCCACACTACTAAATGCAGGCATGATCTATTTTTCCATTTTTAACATGAAATTCAACTAGTTCAGCACTTTGTTGAGGTTCACAGAAAGCACCATGCTGCATAATTGATACATGAAACTCGGCATGCTTTTCAGATACAAGTCCCAATTAGACACGGCAATGGACCGGACAATTACATAACCTAGCTCTCCCTACCTCAAAAGGGAAGCAAAAATGGAGAAAATAAGGAGGCCACTTGTAATCAGCTGACGGTGTTCATGTTGGGGATGACAAGGGTTCTTGACCTCGCCTTAGATTAGATATCTACACTATTTACTGAACTCCTATTCTTAGTTTCACTCCCATTTCACTCACTACAGCATCACAATGTTTGCCACCCAACATCATCAGAAAATAGCACCTTCGATCTCTGTAAATACTTCTCCCTAACCTCAAAAGTTAGACCTTCCATCTTCAATCTCTCTAGAAAGCAGCAAAAAGAAGGTAATATTTTTACTGTTCAGTATTCACAATAGAAAATTGGGCAGATTATAGCAACCGACTCCTGAGTGATTTGGATTAATCAATCTTCTTTTCGAAATGACACATCAGGACTCCTACATTATGAAGTTTCACTGTGCCAAAAACTCCAGAGGTTTGCTGTTATTAAAATGACTGAATCCTGGCAATTCATTACGTTTCCTTCCCTCTATGAGACACAATCAGTGGCCTTTTGTTTATGTTTTTCCCAGGTGAGGGGGTGCAGATAAAATAGTTTTGTCACCTCATTTGATGGAACTTCATGACTTGATGACGAGGAGTGTTCTTGTGCCTGCAATGAATCATCATGAGCACTAAAGTTACTAGGTAGCTTGTCATTCAACTAAATGTCATGCAAAGCCCGAGATAAAATTTTACTATCAGATTCACAGCATCACCAAAGGTACCTGTTTTGAACCCAAGCCTTTAGATGGTTCACCGACACCCATCTTCTCAAAGAAATTCTGCATGCTTGAAGCCATCCTAGCTATCTGTGTTTCCATACTTGCATACTTCTTCTCCATGGCCTCCATTTTACCCAACATCTTGCTTACCTCTTCATTAGCTGATTTTTTGGCCTCAGATGCGATCCTGATGAGCTCAATATGGCCAAGTTTTTGGCCCCAAAGATCAGAAGGGTTAGGACCCAACCCATATGTGCGCACATGGCCATTTTTTTCTTCTCCCATAACTTGGAAGAAAGCATCATCCCAGTCATTACTGTCATTTGAAGTCTGTTGTTTCTGAGTTTCTTGTTCACGGAGTTTTGACTGGAATGAAAACCAGTGTTCCAAATCATAAAAGTTATAAAAGAAAGAAAAAAAATATATTGCAAAGAAAAGAATGTAAAAGAAAATTAAGAGAACACGACATCTTCAAAAGTGAAAGAAAATCATAACATAAGAAGCAACACTTAACCCCACTGAACCCTAGATAAAGAAACACCCCTAAAAAGCTATTGCGTGACATCAGAAAAAAAGTAAGACCAAGTTCTATCCCATGTAAATTTTCTTGAACTATTGGTATTTGAAATTTTTTGAAAAAGTACAATAAAGGTAAAAAAAACGGATTTCCATAGTTGTGTTCATTAAACCTACAATTATTTCTGCAGCTACATTATTCATAGGCTGTCCATCCTTACGAGTACGGGTCTTTATGTATAGCTCTGCCCTGGTTGGCTCCTTTCCATCAGACTTCTTTGTCCTCTATCCTCAAATGACAGCAGTCTGCATGTCAAAATAGACATCACGAGAGCAGTAATAAGTTTCCAATGTAGAAGTTACCTCTTCCTCACGTATCCTTGCAAAACTCTTTGAGCCTGCAGTGTGGGTACTCTTCTGGTTCGACCGGTTGGCCTTATTTTTTGCACTACGCAACTACAAATTTCATATAAAAGAATTAAGTTTCCAATTTTTATGTGAGAGAATATCAAAGGTATAACACAGATCTTGCAATCATCGCTTGCACATACTTGTGCCTCTTCGGAGTTCCAATAGGAAATGAGAATTGCCCATTGCTCTGGAAGGACTCTTCTATCACGATCATTCAGGCGCTCCTCATCAGTTTTATGAGGATAATAATGTTCAGACTTCAATTTTGCTTTCCAATTCCTCCATTTTGATGCGAGGGATCTCAGTACCCAAGTTTTGCACACGGGCTCAATGTCAAATTTTGTCTGTAAAGTATAAAAAAGAAGAAACAATCATGAATGAACACCAAGAAATGATTGTTTAAGGAAGTAAAAAGTTCTTTCTTTTCCTTTGTTAGTAAAAAATGAACTTCGGACCTATTTCTACCCCCATCCTTGTCGACATGCCACTCGAGAACGAAAGTTTTATTCATTAATACCTGGACAAACTGCCACATGTTCTCCTTCTTTTCATCTGGCATTGCAAACCAATCCACAAAAGTAAGGGGTGCCATCTCACCATTCCGCGCAACAGTTCCCAGGAAAGTACTTAGCTTAGATGCTCCAGGACCAACAGGCTGCCCCAATGTGTTGATGGGAACAGCTAACTGTTCACCATCACACATGTCCCACATGTCACGGCACAGAGTGGGGCCTCTAACTCGAGTCCTCTTCTTTGTCTTTTGTGTTGGCTGCTCTGGGCTGTCTGGATGGCTGTGACTCCCTGAGGGCTGCTGAGGTGAGCGACAGCCTGAAACCAATGGTGTTCTGGTGCACAGGTCCTCAGAGCTCCTCTGTGTATTTCTCCTGCCCCTCCCGCTAGTGTTTGCTAGTCCTGCATAGAAGAAAACCAAAATAAAGAGGCAATACCAATTACTACATTGTAAATGTCTAAAATACAACAAACAAGATGGCTATAACACACACGCACTCTCAAGATTTACATAAAAAAATTACCATGCAGGCATGGAGAAAGGAAAATATAAAGCCTAAGCTATGTTCTTATGAGACTGTTTTATGGCCATAACAACTGAACAGAGCTTGAGTTTAAAAAGATGTCAAAAGAGGAGGAATGCAATCCTAGTACAAGAGAAATGCACAGAGGAAACACCAAAAGAAGGAAACTAAAGAAAAGAAATAAAAACTTGTCTCCGAGACCTGATGTTATAAAAAACACAACATATTCTTTTGGTTTTATTGATTGTTTCAGTCATTCTCGTAACTTCTTGAAACAACGATGAAGACAAAACAGACAACATAGTGTCCAGTACTGGCATCAGAATCCTGAAAAGCATTTCATTTACACAATTATGAACTTCACAGCAGCATACCAGGACTAGAAATATCTAAACTAGTCGGCAGCTGAGATGGCCAGAGCTGCCCAATGCTTGACTCAGGCTGATGTGGTACATTTGGTTGGTTGCAGCTTAATGGGGGCTGTTGGGCATGCAATTCACTTTGATTGACAATCACAGGGCCCACTGGACACCCAGGCACATCTCCGCTGTGCTCCATTGCACAATCCACAGGATCCACTGGACACACAGGCACATATCCCTTTTGCTCCATGGGACAATCCACTGTAGGCAGTGGCGCATGTCCTACAAATGGTAGACACAACCCGAATTGTAAAGACAAACACTTGATTGAAACACTGTTGATGATAGGGATGGATAAACTGGATGGAATTGAAGTAGAAAGGAAGCTCTCTCTGTATATATGAAAATTTTGGTCTGCCATACCTGCACCATCAATATCTACACCAACATGTTCCTGGGAGGTGCTTTGCTGGGATTGCCATAAATGACATGAACTTGGCTGGGGTTGTTGCTGCTTGGAATGGGTAGGGCCACTCATCATGGAGACCATCGAATGCCTGGTTGCATATTTTTTCTGCCTCATGGAGCGACCCATAAGAGCAGCTAATTTTGAATGTCCTGAAAGAAAAATGGCAAGATAATAGAGGTTAAATAATATACATGGACAGGAGGAATAAGATCCTTATGTTGCATGTTTGATTCCAAATGATACTGAGATCTTTCACAAATCAATGATTACATTAAAATAATAGAGTCAAACTTGCACTTTAACCCCATGGATCTTAACCTAACTACCAAGCATCCCTTGTCCTGAACTTTGGCTAATGGACAAAATGCCCCTTCATTACTAATTTCATAACAGAGAATATGCATTTCTTCAAAACCATCATACCCCTAATAAACAGCAAGACCTCCCTCCTCGCTCAAATTACCGGAAGCATTTCAATCCAGTCTATCCCCTTCTATTTTGCCAAACACAGCAATGTTTGCTCACACTTATCCCCTAGCCACCAATGACACCTACCCTGATAGAGTGGCAGAAGGCAGGTGTGCCAAGGCTCCAAAGCAAATGCACATAGCCTCAAAAGCCCTTCAAACATTCTATAAAATGTTTCTTTTTATATCCCATTCCATCTTGACAAAGATGAACGCCACATCCTATAAATTACATGGCACACTAACAGTCTTCCTTTTTAAATTACCTCAATATAACAGTTTGAAGACTGCCAAAGCTTATCTCAGTAAAGTCATTGAATCCATTTTTTCCCTCTTTGCTATTATCTAAGCCCTTCCTTCTGATAACAAATCCATCATAGCTCTTGAATAATCTTTAAAGTTTTATCTTGAATGGGGTTGCCTCGACAAAGGTCACAACATCTCATATCAAACATTAAGTTCAAAAGAATCAAGGTAAATGAGGAAAAAACAGTTCACTTTCATGTTTTATCACTTCATGTTTTGTTGAAAACAAGGACGAGAAGAAAGATTAGAGACCATATGTGGAAATGGACCAGGGCAAATGATGCCACATGACATGCAAATCAACTGCTGATCTCAGCAGATACATCAGAGAAGGTAGCAGATTGAACAGACACACAAAAGTCATAGTAGTGTGGATCATTCCAACCAAGACCTAAAGCTTGAGGGAATGAAACAAAAACAACGTTCACAAATATAAGAATATCTGCAAAATCAAATTTTATTCTATCTTCTTTGTCAAACTTCAAGAAAACAAAAAAAAAAAATGCTTTATGAATTTTCAAAATCAACTGCCTTGGATTCCTCTGTGTTAATTGTGATTCAGTAATAAAAACATTGAAAATTTGACCAATAATCAATTTATTTCTTATCAACTTAAATGCCACATGGATATCAATATATTTTCTTATGTATAGAGATATCTAACTATCAATAATCAATTAGAGTCATTAAGGTAGTTTATGACCCAGCTAAGTTTTATTTCTCAAGAAAAGGTGGACAATTTTGCATTGGCTATAAAGCATGAAACTTTCATCCACCTCATGTCTACTTCTGTAACAACTGCAACACAAACAAGACCTACCATAAGGCATGGAATTTTCATCTATCTCACATTTACTTCTGTTTCAGGTGCAACGTACCTGAATAACTACTGTCTGCACCAGCCTGTGAATGGGAAAGTTGTGGTGGTAGGTCAGTGCTTGGCTGAGGTTGATGCGACTGACAAGGCTGCCTAAAGCCTGGGAGGGGCATCTGAGATCGGGACAGGCTGGTGCCAAAATTATCCTGCTGCATATGATTGCCAACAATATGGTTCCCTGTAGACAAAATATCACATTTATTATACCTCACAGTTTGATTATTGGAAAGCACCAAGTAAGAATTTCCTACAAAATGAATACTATTGATAATAATGATAATAAAAAAACTAAATACCATGATAATGAAAAAAGTTCATGAATTTGATTTTGTTTCTTCCTCATAAAATTGCTATATTATAAGAAGGTCTACGAAGAAGTCATGCATGATTGTGTTAACACAACTAGAAATTTGAAATCACATAGGCCAAAAAGACAGGAAACTGTAGCAATAGAAGTATAGGGTCCCAAAGACCTACTAAACATATGAAAGTTGTATCTATCCTATTTTTGTTTTTACAGGGCTATGTACCTGCACAATTAATTTCTGCAACTGCTTGTGACTCGAAAAGCTGTGGCTGGGTATTGCTCAGCTGAGGCTGATGTGACTGACAAGGCTGGTGATATTGGGACACCTGAGAAAGTGCTTGGATGGTGCCAAGATTATCTGGTCGTGTCTGGCTGCTGACCGCGTGGCTCCCCATAGAAATAGCGTCAACCTTGCTATGCCTCTTAGAATGATCAGTAGAAGGCAAAAGGTGAGGATTTCCTACAACAATTAAATCAATCGATGATAAATAAAAATAAGTGTGAGTGCATTATTATGTTAGATGCAAGTGCAAAAAAGGATATGATATCAAATTTCTGAATAGACCAGCATGAGACCCAATTCAGTGCCTTGAATGGATACAGACACCAGCCATCAGCATGAAACTTGTAAATTTCAATTATCTATTTTTGTTTTCGAAGCTCCATGCACCTGGAGGCTGATGCAACTGATAAGGCTGGCTATAGCCTGGTAGGGGCACCTGAGATTGAGGTTGATGTGACTTATGATGCCGGCTATGGCATGGTAAGGGCACCTGATATTGAGGCTGATGTAACTGACAAGGCAGGCTGTAGCCTGATAAGGGCACCTGAGATTGAGGCTGATGTGACTGATAAGGCTGGCTATAGCTTGGCAGGGGCACCTGAGACTGAGTGTGAATCATACCAAAATCATTCTGTTGCATCTGCTTGAGATCACATACCACATGGTTGACCACAGACATAGCATCACATTGGCTAAGCCTTATAGCATGGTCATTTGAAAGCACAAAGTGAGAATGTCCTACAAGAACAAAATCAAATGATTGTGACTGAGATTATTAGGAAAAAGAAATAATAATAGCTGAGAACACTACCTCAATAATGAGAAAAAATCTTCAAGGCTAATGTATTCGGTGATTGCAAAAAATGAAAAGAAAAGAAAAACGTATTAATAAGCCAACAAAGATGCGCAGGGGGGTGGGGGTAAGTTGCTTGACTTTGGGAGATTCATGTAAAAATAAAACACTAAATCCTAATCAGTTGGTTATCCATTAGAAGCAGGAAATTCTATAAAAGGTGTACTAGCTACAATGAGCAAAGTGATGAAAATCACTAGAAGAAATATAGAAAAAAGCAGAACCTTGAAACTCATACCACTTGTTTTGGTCACTATTTCACTTTTCAAGCCAGCTGCCGTCCAGTATTTCATAAACTTCTTCTTCACTCTTTTCATAAGGTACACGATATAGTCACCCTTCTTGTTATACTTGAGACAATTCTCCCAGATATATTGTACATCCTTGTATACATCCTCACCATTTAGGTACTTGACACCATTTTGAAGATTCTTACATATGGTTCCAAAATCCATTGGTGTATCTACGACATCAAAGTAATCCTGATCACAATCAGACAACCCCAACCCCAATATTAGAGAGAGAGAAGTCTGCGTGGTATATAGGCATTTGAGTATGAGAAAATATCCAGCATAGTGTTATTTTTACATAAAATATCCAGTGTAGTGCATGACAGCATGAGCATGAACAATACCTAAAAAGTAACAGGTCATTTTTATGAATCACCATGCATCCATTTTGCAACAACAAAATCATGATTAAGGTGAAATACCTTTCCCGCTCCATGGGATTTTTATAGAAAGTTGAAGAACGAAGATAATAGACTAGACATAAAGGAAACCACTAACAAATTCTTTGTGCTCAAAAGTAGCAAACTAGAGTTTTTTGGCCCAAAGTTGTCAAGGATGAGCCGTTAGTGCAAAAGATACTGCAAAAGCATTTTTTTTTTTTTTTTGTG